TGTGCAAGGTTATTGCCTATATGATGAATATTCATTAGCTTAAACCCTAGGAGTACCTTATAATACTTCTAATCTGAGCTAAGGAAGTACCCAGTAATTGCTAGGAAGGAGTTTTGTGATGAACTAGTCCATGTATTAACTATAAGAGAGATCTTGGACTGCTAAGGGATCAAGGAAAGGGTCTTAGCTTGAATTATATTTAACTATTTAAGTAAATAGTGCTTAATTATATGCTAATTTAGTAGGTTAAGTATATGTGCTCTAGCTGCTATAGTAAGTAATTAGTAAAATTAAGGGTGTTTAACTATTTGAAATAGGAGGTAAGCTATAAGTATAAACTAAAGGATTTAATCCTTAAAGTTTTTAGGTGAATAAGCTATTACAGGCTAAGTAATTAGTAATAGAAATCTAACTAAAGTTAGATTTAATACTTACATGGTTTATAAGTAGACTGCTTAGCTTCTTTTAGGAAGAAGATGTTTTCTTAATCTCTGTATAGTAAGCTTTGGTGTGCTGTGATATTATTATATTGCCAGTGCTATAATAAGGGTAGAGGAGAAGATAACTATAATATTTACATTGCACTAGAGGTTTTCCCTTAGGAAAGGATGCACCTTCATTAAAATCTGCCTATGCCAGAGATGTCTATTCCCTTCCCTAGCTAACCTTTTGCTTCTTAGATTGCATATCCTTGGCCTCTTTTATTTCCTGCCACTATGATTGGAATGCTAGCTCATAGTCCTTACTAAATAGCATAAACTTATTTTTTCCATTTTGATTAAGAATTTAGAGGTCTGGGTGGAGAGTAGGCTATATAATAATTATCTGTGAATGGCATGGAGTATTATCTGACTGTAATAAAGAGAAGGCTGGTCTAGATAGACCTAGAGTGTATCTAGGGGTATAACTACTAATAGTAGATGATGGCCCTGTTAAGGAGGGAGAATTAACTAATATTAGATTTGAAGAATCATTAGGAAATGAAGATTAAGATATCTTTGTAGCTCTACTCTCTTCTCTAAGTTAATTTTCACTATGCTTAAATAAGTTTCTATATTATAAATATAATACTTTAGAGGTCTACTTCATTACTAGAGAAATAAGGCATTAAAGTTACCATAGTAATTATAATCTAACCTAAGTTAGATTTCATTACATTCTAAATTCTAAGCATTAATGATCATCTAAGCATTAATGATCACCCTGTGTAATACCTGAATACTAGCATACCCCTGCGCATAAAGAAATGTAAATCTAACTAGAGTTAGATTTATATCTCTTACTAGCTACCCCCTTTATCTTCTTACTTGCTCTTTTCTTACTTTTTTCACCCCTATCTCCACCACCTGTATTACTACCTCCTTGACCTGCTTTATAGTTAGATAACTTCTAGGAGATAATAAGGTTATTAAGATATTTCCTAAGATTAGTAAAAATATTATATTAGACCTAGAACTAGTAGCTAGCCCTCTTAAGCTAGCTCTAAATAGCCCTAGTTATAGTTATAGTAGTTAATATACTAGTATCTTATTTAAGAATTAAAGGAGGTATATAGCCTTTATAGTCCTTAAATCTCTTAGTATAGAGGTTAGAGAAGGATTCTAGATCCTAAGGCTATGTGAAGTTAGTGCTATTATTATTATAATCTCTAGAGGAGGAATATATTAGGGTAGAAACCTCTATTTTTTAGTATTATGCTGCAAAGATGATTAGCTAAAAGTAGAGTATTTAAAAGTAGTTAATAATAGGAGTCTGGATATATAAAATATATAACCCAGGAGGCCTTTTTGCAAAGGTACCCCTAAGTTAGAAAGTATTGTAAAGGTGTACTTCACCATAAAGGTAAGCAGGATCTCTTAAAAGGGTGCCCTAGCCTAACCCTTAGCCTATTTTCTAAAAGAAGGAAAGGCTATAGCTATACACTTATAGTAAAATACTTAGAGTCTTATTACTCTTATAGTCTAGACTTTCCTCTAATCAAGTTACCTAGCTTAGTGCCTCTTAGATTAATGCCCCTCCTTGGGTGAATTTACCCCCTCAAGGTAATATATGCTCTAGGCTGGTGATATATTCTCTAGCTATCACTACCTTAATACACTGCACCCATGCTAATCACTACCTTATTTAAGCAGCATCACCCCCTATCACCCATAAGGGCACCCACCTGAGTATTAACTACATTGAAGCCACACACTGGCTGGTTAGTAGTTGGGTGGGTGACCACCAGCAAATCCCAGCTGTTGTATGTTGGAGTTCACTAACTTTTTTTAATTTGCTGGGTTTAGCGCCCTCACCGCCCTGTCTTCACTCTCTTCACCTGAAGATCGCCTGAACCGCCTGAACCTGAATATTCCTCACTCAGTACCCTGCCCAACCCCTGTTCCTGCTGACGTGTCCTCATCTAGCACTCTATCTACAGGGCAAAAACATCCCTACCTAATTTCTCTTCCCTTTACTTAACATTCAAGACTGTACATGGTGCACCATTGAATCCTATGTTATGCATTCTCTGTGCCCACAATAGTCGCTTCATAAACCAGGATATTCTATACCCGCTCCTGGCTTCTTGATTGACAACAGTATGACGAGTTGGCACAGCACGAGGGATAATCTTGCCCACTACTTTCATTCCGCCTCCTATTGATAACGGTCCTTCACCGTTAAAAATGTCTTCCTGTTCGAAAATCTCCCTCTTTAATGGCAGCGTCGAATTCTGAATTCTGTAATTGACGAGTAATTCCAATTATGCTCCAATCCCATCAGCTCCTATATCTTAAACCTAAATTGATAGCCGCTCTACCTTTTGTTGATTACCCGTCGTAGTTAAACAGCTGCAACCTCAGTGCTCCTCCGACATTATATATCCCGACTACTCGTTGACAACTGGCCCCACTGTTGCCGCAATAACAATATTGGGTACTGTAAGAAGAGCAGAGTGAGTGATCTATAGAGCCTGTCGGTCCTTAGTAACCCTGGGCTCAGGCATGACTGCATGGGTGCGAGTGCATAAACCAATGACATCTAGATGTATGAAGCAAATGTTAGTGGCACAGCCTCAAGGCTACTGCCTTGTCGCGGCTGATAGCTATCTATATTATCTTATGCAAATCTCGAGTCCTTGCAAACTTCCACCATGATTCAAAATGGACCATCCTTGCCCTCCACTCAGAGCATTGCTCCCAGCGCGAAGAGCTGCGGATGACCAACCGCAAGTTCAAGCACGTCGCCCTATCTCAGATCATTATTCTGAACAGAGACAGGGTCTCATTTCTCAAAAAACCTGCAACGCAACCTCCAAGCATGTTGAATGCTCGGAAAAGCAGTATTTCCAGATGTTTTCAGAGTGGGAAAGGTAGATTCTCGGTGGTGCGATCAGCATAAACTGAATTGCTGAATTAGGCCGGTGTTATAGCCGCTGGGCAATTCAGCCAGGAATGGATCATCCAAGTTGGACAATTGACCTAACGTAGCTCCACCTGTGACGGGCGTAGGCAGTATTGTTCTCAACTGGCAATCCTGTATTAACGAATATCGCAAACTTGGAGAGAGAAATAGGAAGATACATCTCCCTCTCCTTCTTATACACATGTTCCTAAGCTTCCACTGGGTTCCAACCCCTTCCCGATGTTCTTCTAGAATGTTCTATGGTTGAGGGCATGGCCGACAACCACAGCCCAGGCCATAGCCTGTGACACCACCTGTCCTGCAATACTCTGTCCCATTAAAATGATCAAGAGGATGAACAAGAGGTAACATCGTCATGCAACAGAATTGCCTCTGCTTGCCAGTGACGGTGGACAGGGTGCCGCGGGCCTGGGGAACGGTGTGACAACCTCAAGGAAAAGAATGAATCTTATTCGTAGGTACGATACAGAATTCTAAGCTAGAGAAGGAAAGGAGCCAAGGGACGGCGTTGTGGGGTAAACAGTGCAAACACGTCACATGATAGGCCAGTGCCGCGCGCTGGGGCGTCACAAACGGCTCGATTTGGATCTCCCGAGAGGCACTCTCCCCATTGGTCCGAAATATCCATCAGCAATTCGTCCACCGTGCGTGCTCCCGCTCTTAGCGGGCGGTTACCTGAGCCGGCCGCACCCCATCAAACCTTTAACCCGTAGTTTTGGTAATGTTCGTAGATGGAATCAAGTAGAATGAGCTTCGAATTAAGATGGTAGTTTTGGACAGTAGTTACCGTCAAACTGGCAATATTTTCAATGTGCGAAAGGCCCAGGAAATGGTGTGGTTATGTGTTGAAGTTCGCTACGTTGAACAGTAAAAGTTTGATGGGGTGAACACCAAACAGCAACCGGACAGCAACGGACAGCAATGAGCAGTGAGCATATCAATATTCAGGGGTAAAGTGATTTGAATTGATTATTAAAAACTTCAAGTACTCCAGAAAAGTTTTCATATCAACACGCTTCACACTCATTAGACGTTAAACGTACATCCAACCAATTTCGCGTCAACACCCAAGGAACGAGTACAACACACCACGATTGTACCATTATCATCCCGAGAATTACCATGGAAAACCAAATATTTACAGTAGTGGTGCAGTTCCGTGTGCTTGTTGTCACACCCTGGTATCTCTCATAGCTAAGGAAACTAGTATATCACGTAGATTAGCCTATCCACAATGGGTTGTAGGTAGTCTCACTACCTACCAAGGGTGATACAAACCTAAGTGATACTCCACGGAGTATCTTAACTCAGTCAACCGACCCTCGTTCGATAGAAACCTCCTTTATGACACCATATTCAATCACACGCTCACTCAACTTGTGGTTTTCATTGAGGCAAAAAGCCCCTCTCTCCACACACTCCTGGCAAAGATCGAAATCACCATTCCTGCATATTTGGCAATGATAGTGATGGTCAATATCTGATATGTTCATTAGACAGATATCACAGAAGATTCTGCCGCGATGAACCGCGGATCGTTTAATCATACTTGAATCCGCATTATGAGGAATGGCGCCAGTCTCGTCATGCTCCTTTTACAAGAGCCTTGTAATTTCACTATGGCCTCTCCTCCTAACTTCAGTGAGAGCGGTACGACCAAACATATCCTTGCTTCCAGGATCCATGCTAATTGTAGCAACCAGCAGTCGAACTAACGCCACATGTCCTGCAGTTGCAGCAGCTAACAATGGAGACCAACCAAATCTATCTTTCGAATCCGGATCAACCACGTTGTTTGACAGAAGCAGCTTCATAATTCCCTCGTGGCCATTTGCTGCTGACAACATCAACGGGGTTCGGCCATCATCATCCTTAGAGTCTGGATTAGCGCCCTTCTCCAATAGCAATTGCACTATCCTCTCGTCACCTCGATAGGAAGCAGCGTGGAGAGCATTGCCATCGCGTCCACCTTGGGCATTGACATCGGCTCCCTTCTCCAGGAGCATCTGCACTATCTGCTCACGGCCTTTAAAGGAAGCAGCCTGGAGCGCATTGCCAAAGTAGCCACCCTGGGCATTGATATTGGCTCCCTTCTCCAAGAGCAACTGCACTGTCTCCTCATGGCCTTGAAAGGAAGCAGCCTGGAGACTATTGCCATAGTGTCTAGGTTGGCCCCTGTCATCCCATCCATGCTCAATGAACCACGGCACAGCACCGCCATAGTGTCCACCTTGGGCATTGACATTGGCTCCCTTCTCCAGGAGCATCTGCACTATCTTCTCATGGCCTTGAAAGGAAGCAGCCTGGAGAGCATTGCCATGTTCACCACCTTGGGCATTGGCATTGGCGCCCTTCTCCAGTAGCATCTGAACTATCTTCTCATGGCGTCGATAGGAAGCAGCCTGGAGAGCATTGCCATGGCGTCCACCTTGGGCATTGACATCTGCTCCCTTCTCTAGGAGCATCTGTACTATCGTCTCATGGCCTTTCAAGGAGGCAGCCTGGAGAGCATTGCCATAGTGGCCATCTTGGGCATTTACATCCGCTCCCCTCTCCAGCAATAACCGTACTATATATGTGAGACCTCCTGATGACGCGTAGTACAATGGACTTGCCATGTGAGAACGTGGTGCATCTTGAGCCTGTGGTTTATCTGGGTCAAAGAGGTAGCCCCAGGCTGCGTACGCCTCACTTTCGTTCAGCAGGAACTGTAAGATGCTTTCCTGAACGTCCTTTCTGGATTCAGCATGCCTTGCATGATCTATCCAATATCGTGCAGAGTATTGCGCCAGAGGAAATCTTCCTCTGATTTCCTCCGCAGGGCATTTCCCTCCAAAGTAGAACATATACGTCAGGCAGACTCTTGTAATACACGCCCGTGCACTGATTTCGGTCATGCTGGCTTGAAATACCTTTTCCACGCGCCCGGACGTAAGATATTCTTTGACGGAGAAATGCGCTAATTGAAGCTGTATCACGGCCTCTTCCCTATTGTCGCCGTCCTCTCTAGTTGTCAGAGACACCAGACTGGAACAAATCCTAACGATCTCTCCAGGAACAGCTGCTCTTCTGCTGCTGTTTGCTTCCTTCTCGCCTGCTCTGCCCGCTTTTCCATTTGTTTCTTCCGCTGCTGCAATGCCTTCATCAACCGTTCCTTTTCCGGCGTCATCCCTGACGAGGACAACGCACTCATGGATTTGGCACCGGGAGATAGCTGAGGTCTGGAAATAGGTATTGAGGGTGGCGGAACCAGTAAAGGAGGTACAAGGGGAGATCCATTGCCAGTCATGAATCCTTCGGCGCTTCGTTGCGATTGAGGACGTGAGGGTTCGGAAACAGATTTTCGGGATGATGAACGAACGCCAGCCGGTAACGAGGCGACAGGCCGTTGATCTTGACTTCGAGACAGGTTACCTGCGGTGCGTGGGCGTCCATTCGTGTCTAAGGAAGGCCGAGGGCCGCGCTTCACTTTGGGAGAGTAACCAGCTACTTGTTCAAGATCTCGTCGGGATGGTCTTGCGGATTGTGAAGATTTTCGAGGTTCGTACGAATGTTGAGATAGCTCTTCCAGGAGATTTTTGCGAGGGGACGAAAGTTCGGGGGCGTGTTCGGGCGTCGACGGTAACCGATCATCTGCCGGTGGTTCGATCGCTTCCTTTAGAGCGGGCGGTGTCCCGTCGATGTTCGGACTGGATTCAGCAGATCGTGAAGGTACTACGGTGGCTTCCGACAGCTGACTGAACGATCGTTGGCGTATGCCTGACTCTGGGGACTGCGGTGGGGCCTCGTCCTTTGCCGTTGCATTTTCCTCTGCATCTTCCGTGATTTCCATCAGCCTGCGACGGCGGAGGGAACTCGAAGAGGAGGTGATAGAACCTGAAGCTGCATGTAACAAGCATGCTGACGACAGTGCGCTTTCGGTGAGGTCCGACGGCTGCGCAAGCGAGAAGACAGTATCATGCGGTGAGAATTTATCCAAAATGGATTGGAATTGAACAGTGGTTCGGGCTGTAAGGCAGCGATGTGAAGTTAGTGATGATGCCCGAAGAAGATGAGCTCAGAAACGCGACAGGAACAACGTACCTTGTATCAACCTGGATAGCCCTTCTGGCATATACCTCAGCACCACCTTCCTCCGACGATATTATAGGAAGCCATAGAGTGGAGAATTCTCGTCGTAGCCGTCAATCGTGTTGCGGACCTCAGGCACCCCGCCAGTGCCTCGACCTAGGAGGGCGATCTCATCTCTTGACACATATTTGAGAAGAAACCTAGATCATCAGATATGTCACCCAGATCAGCTCTGTACAATGCATTGTTCAATCCACGTAGTTTCGAGAAAATTCAGGGAAATTGCGAATGGGTTATGTCGTGAGGGGCCATCAGGAAGCAACTCACCATCCTCCCGCTTCAGCAAGAGTAGTCTGATAGGCTTCGATGACCGCGGGATTGTCTAGCCCGTTAAGAGACATGGCAGGTTCGGCATTGGAGACGAATGCCTATTTCAATGGTGGATAGACCACAAAGAAAGTCGAGATAACGGAGGTTGGTGAGGGTGGGATGTAGTGCAACTTGCCAACTCCACGGAGTCTGAGGCCAGCGCAGTAGGGCTGCGTCGAATGTAGTAAGTTCTGGAAAGAAGAAAAAGGGTAGAAACTAAAAAAGGCCCCCTGCAGACCAAGAGCCCTCAAGTCGCAAGATCCAGACGCTATCAAGGGGAATACACCAGCCGGAGAAAGATGCCTTCGTTCGATTGTCAGCTTTGCGAACCTCTCAGGACTCAGGAGTTCAGGGGAAATGTTCTAGTTGATTGGAATCGATGGATTTAGATCCACTCCGGCGATTGGGAATCTCCACAACTCGCGGGTGGCCGCTCTCCGTTGGCGATTACTGGCCGGCTATTTAGGGTCTAGGAGAACCAGTAAAATGGACTGAAACTCTCTTGGGTACTTGTCAACCTGAAACAGTAACGAAACTTCAAGTGACAGTAGTTCGGGTAGTCTGTGTACACTGATATGTGCTGGAATGGATATACCATTAGAACTGTGCAGAAATTAATTGTTTGTACAGAGTAAAGATCTTTGATCGGTGGAAAACAGATCTTTCGGGAAATACTTACCTCAGGCTCTCATGATTCGGGGTTTATTCTGTCCTAGGCCGATTGCCAATTGGCTATTCGCATTGGACCAATATAGTACGGAGTAATAATATCGGTACCTCTATAGGAGGTCTATAAGTCGGAAGTGACGCCCTTTTCGGCGTCAGTCAATGCTGTGTGACAGTTTGCCCTCACCGCTTTTCTAACCTGGTAAAAGTAATTGACTAGCTCCATCACCTATATTCCTTCTTTTGCATTATCTTCATGTTGCTCCTATTAACTGTATGCCAACGAGGTTCTATACAGAGTTCCTCCAAAGCATCAGCCTAAAGGAAGTTGCGGTGGATATCCTAATAGCGTTGCACTCATACCAGACGATTATTAAACGTGAGATACCGCTCGAATGGCTCAGTGCCAGGTTCAAGGAAAGAAATATCCTGGTGTCACGACCAGATCAATCAACTTAGTTTGGAGTTTCTCGAGCCGGTGTATATTAGCTTACTTCCCTTATTACTGTTTAGATAACTAACAGTATCATTATAGAAGCCACTGCACTTTTATAGCCGTAGATCCATATCTACAGCTGGCTGCGTGTCTTCCAGAAAACTTTCGATCCTATGCCGACTGGCGTCTTATGAATTACATAATTACTAGACAGGCACGATATAGGTTGAGTCGAAATTTCTGCAACTGCTTTATAAATTTTAAAGCCTGGATAGCAGTAACGTCGATGTATTTGCTGACTTGACTCTTCTTATTGTCATTCAGGAGTAGTATTGGGAGTTTTCCTTCGTCCTCAGAAATGCGAGTCGCAGCCGTGACCAGATGCGAATGGTCGATCTGAGTTTTACCGTCGTCTCACATTAACATATTTCAGTAGCATCTGAACTGTTTCCGCACTGCCCCGCAAATATACATACTGGATGGCTGTCCCATATTCAGATGAATAGTGATTGATATCGGCCTCGTCTGACAGGACTGGGGACTCCGGCAAGACTGTGAAGTCCACCAGGACTGGATAAGCCAGGGCAGATACAGTCTTAGCAACTTAAGGCTTGACAGACCAGACCAGTGGGAGTAGGTTAGTTCCTTGGTTGATAAGGCGGGATTTTGTTTCGTGGCCGGGACAACTTTCCGATCTCTAGGTGCCACCCAATATCTACAGCTCTTCCGTCTCCATCGGACATCTCTTTTCGGTAGAGTTGGGAATTAGCAGCGACAATTATTTGCTGTCTCGATGGCAAATCAGCGAATAACCCGGAAGTCTTCTTTCAAATAGGACAAGACCTAGGCCATTGCTAGATTCTAGGCCCGGAGCAACATCCGCAATATATTGATCAGTGGCAACTTCATTGTCAACAGAAATATGATGCAATACCACCTTTACAGGTTATAAAAGCACACTCGATTAGTCTCCCAGCTTCTCAAGACATCTGAGAACCATCAACAGCTTTGACTTAACAATTTACAGCATCAACCCACACCTCGACAAAATCAAACAAGTTAATCCATAAAAATGGCCACTTACGTCACTGGACAGCGCGTTCGCTTCAGACCTGCTGGCGGTAAGTGACAATATTTCGAATATGTCGAATGCACTTCGTTCAATGTCCCTGATCGACCTATTTCAGAAACGCACGACCACACCGGCATCATCAGGGAAGTCGTTGAAGATACCGGTGTCACTCATAGACACCGCTACGAGGTATGGCCTACTCTTTGATTAAGATCCTTGTCGGGATTAGTTGGTTGCTAATGTAGATTCGATTGGAAGATTGAGGATCTCACCACTGGTACTATGAACACTTTTTATGAAGCGGATATTATTACGGTGGTATAATGAAAAGGGGTGTATCGAAAGCCGCCTTTTTGGCTCTGGCATTCGACTATCGGTCAGGGATTAAAATACCATTCACCGACACATACAATTGAGCAGATGAGCTTCTTGACACGGTGGAATGGATGATAATGGTCAAGATCCTTTGAGTCAATGGTTCGAAAGCGGGCGAAATTGCTATTTACTCGTTTCTTTAGTCTATTAGAGTTAAAATCGAGACATGTGCATGTGAGATTAGACAGGCAATCGACAAGAGTTGGATCGGTCATCTTATGAGATGGACGGGGTAAAGCTCATAGTATCTGTCTCATTATCTCCGCCATTCCTCTGCGACCTCCTCCACTACCTCCTCCACACTCTCTTCCGGGAGTGCTGCCGCCTGAGTTCTTCTAGATATAGCATGATCGGACTGATCTTGTTTGGATAAATTCGTTCCCTGTCCGAAAGTCACAATTTGGCACTGTCCCTTTCCCTCGCACTTTCCCACCCTGCAATTTCCCTTCTTCAATTCCACCTGGCCCCTTGAATCATCCTCTGCCCCCAAAACCTCCCACTTCCAAGTATTTTTTTTTTTTGCATACACTCCACTTGAACTTCGAACCCCGTCCGAAAGCACCATGTCTTCACGCATTAATCATGGCGGATGCGTTCCACTTACCAGCGAACCCGAGTCGCCTTCTTCAGATCATCAAATCGGGGCGCTTGGCAGTAACAAATCAGAGAACATTATCTCATTACCAAGCGAGGGTACGTACGAATCATCCAGTTCTATCATCAAGGGGCGTCGCTCAACGGTGATTTTTCCAGATACGATCCAAGGTCCTGAAAGTGACTGCGAAGTGACGAGCAGCTTCAGCTTTGATGATGCCGATCCGCCCCAACCAGAAACCTTCTCACGCGTGCAAAATCACGATCCATTCGGGCGTAAGTCGTCATTCTCGCCGCGGTGCGCCGATGATGGGCTATGCCATGCCGACGCCAACCTAGTGTCAGAAGTACCTGAGACGCCCCCGTCCACCATCAAAAGCTCTGGCGGTGCTAGTGTAAGCGACAAAGATGATGACGGTCTCTTGAGTCGTTGTATGCTGTATGAAGGCGAGGAAGGCTTGCTAGATGTACCGCGATCGGAGGTCCAGCTCTCATTTGAACACGTGGCCGAAACATCCCCTCCACAGCTCGATCATCAAGTGGCTCAAGGTATTACTTCGAGCAGCTTGTACAGCAAGGTCGACAGTACCCGATCAAACCCTACCAGCCAAAAGAGACCAGCGAGTGCTACTTTGGAGACGGATGGAGAAGCAAGTGGTCCTCGAACAAGGGCAAGGGCAAGGGCTAGGGCTGAAGCATCTGAAGCATCCAGTTCATTGCCCACTCCCCGCAGTGCTCGACCTTATTCAGCGGCCGAAGACGAGGTCCTACAGAAATTGGTGGCTAGAGGGCTCACGTGGGAAGAAATTGAGAAGGAGTTCGGTCTGCGCTTCGCTAAGAGGACTTCGAGATCACTGCAGATGCGTTGGTCAAGAAACCTGAAACTTACAGCTCCGTCGACCAGATGCTCGAAACGCAAGAGGTCTTCCCCGTGGTAAACTCGCATGTTGATTTTTCTATACCAGAACGAATCTTGCAGGATGATCCAGTCCTTACGTAGTGGCAGGTTCGATCAAGTTTTAGGTCCTCCCTCCAACTAAGCAGCTCATCTCGCTTCACTGCCATAACTTCCCGGTCGTGGGCCTATCGGGGGATTATAAGCCATAGACGTCTTTCCCCGTCTTCGGGTAGTCTGTAGCATACATCCGAACTCGGTTATATCCAGACCTCAAAAAAATCTTAGCAATGGAGCCTCTCTGTTGGCGAAGAGTCTGAGTCTCCGACCTCGGAAGCAGATAGTCATCGTGAGCACGACAGAGCCGGAAACTGTGGACCAGGGCGCCCCGACCCATCGGATACAGCTTGCCCAAAACCTATGTGCTATTGAACTCTTAGGGATTGATTGGGCAGCAATGTTTCTGCCATTCACACCCGCTGTACTAGTGCAGCTGTGGTCTTGAAGGTTAGATCAGACTTGTATCCGCACGCTCCAGTAATTTTTGATGGCCACTTGCGCAGCGGCACAGGCACTTGCGGCGAGGTAAAGGTAGAACGAAATCAGGATACCTCTGAGGTCAATACTAGCGGAGAATATCGGATCGTTTGTCCGCGGCAGGTCAGACTGGCTTCCTCCTGTGCCAGTGCACAGCAAGCAGCCAAAGGAAGCGTGACGACCACTCAGCGAAAAAGAAACAAGTCTTGTGGACAGCTCCGCACAGGGACCTCAGGGCAAACAGATGTCCCTGGGAACTGCGTTGATCGCGAGAAACCAGAGATCTCAACATTTGAATGGTCCAAAAGGCTCTTTCATATTTGCAGTGACTTATGATTGGTGGCAAGAGCACACCAAAACCAACGGCTAGGATAGGCGGCACCAGGCAAAGGCAACGAGAGTTGTCGTCCAATCACGCATGAGAAGTTAGCGCCTGGTCACCAAAATCCGCCATCATATGTGATTGATTGACCAGAAGAGGTTCTCCGTGGTTGATTGGCTGCTTGGAAATGAAAGGGTCCCTGTGTGTTAACGAGTGTCAGCCGCACCACCGCAAGCTAATGGGATGCACATTAACAGTCAAAAGTACAGTCAAAACCAAGATATTTAGATCATGGTTTTCCACGGGAAAGGAACGCAATGAAAGTCTCTTCGCTACATTCTCACTCTCGCACTGAACGTCAAGACCAACGCCTTTCCCCGCCAAACCCTAAACAACGATTTCCAACATCCCGAACCCTCCTGAGGTATGGCAGAAGATAAGAACCCCAGTGGTTTGCCACGCTAATTAATCAGGATATCTAGCTTGCAGTGTACGACACAACCTTCCAGCCACGATGACGGCTAGTTCGGGTGCCAGTGGCTCCTGTCGGAACAGCAGATGCAATCATTGGAACGACAGGCATCGGAGACACGTCTGCAAGGAGCCTGACTGCCGGAAACAATGGAAAATCTATCAGACTGGTGATCATGGCGGCCCAGAGAATCATGGCAAATATACTATATGTGCCAAATGCAAGGATCACCCAGCTGGTGGACCGGACGGTTTTGAAGAGTACATAGACTTGACAGTCTAGAAGAGCATCTCTGAGTGTCTAGGGTCATTCAGGTGTGGAGTCAATGGCCTTAATCCAGTTTTGAATAGATTTGGTGCTGGAATCTGCAGATTGTCCACAGTTAGAATCAGTGCTGTCGAGATCCGACTCATCAGAACTTTTGATGTCAATCCAGGGATGTTGATATAAAGGCTTCTCACGTGCCGGGTATCCTGTCATCTGTAACCATTCGAATATTCCACGAGTTGCTCCTTCAGATAATGATTGTGAAGAAGAATGACAATAACACAGAGTTGGAGGAGATCCACGAGCCTTCTCGATATTTAACTCCGTTACATCTGACGTAACCTGGCCAAGTCCCGGGTCTTGTAGTTCTTCGCCGTTGGTGAGACACCAATACCAAGCGTTGTATCTGAAGTAATGGCAATTGCATAGTGCATGTTTCTGGACTTCCAGCTCAGTGTCGCAGAGGTGAGATTCGCCAAAGGGTTTCCACGGGGTTGTAGGAGCGCGAGCATGTTCATTGCTGGAAGTTAGGAATAGCAGTCGGCATTCATCCTCACGGCGGATCGTCCAACCATCACTTGCCCCAGGGTTCAAGGTTATGAATGACTGTGTGGTTCCAGTCCACGCAGCTGCGTGGAGATCGACAGCCGTCAATCCGTTCTTAATATCTCGTAACTCGGACTTCGCCATCCCCATAATGATTGCGCCAAGCCAAAGCGTTGCTAACCGCGGCTGTCGCCTGCCAAGAACGGCGGCAAGCTTAGGCATGTCTCCATTTCTTAAGATTGGGTCAATCACGGCGAATGCCGGATTGAGCCAGGCACTGACCAAATTGCATTCAATATCAGCATTGAAAAAAGTGCTGCACAACAAAGATCGCATACCCCAAACGTCCGAGCTCAAAGACATGTAGGCGGAAAGAAACTTGCTATATTCAGCAACAAGTTCCATGTGTGAAGGTTGGGCCCGAGGAAAAGCAAAGCTCGCCGGATTTTGAATCTGAGTGATAGCTGTGGTGGCTGGCTTCGGCACTGGTAGCGTAGCTAACCTACTGCTGAGTAATGGGATGTAGAGTGTCGCGGCCAGAGCAGCCGAACATTGGCCATATAGTCGGTGATGCGCGCAGAACTTCGCCAAATATTTGAGAGCAGTTTCCGATGAGGGTGGTGCAGGATTATTGTTGCACATAATCGGTCTTGCATGGCTGAGAGTCCCGTTTAGGATCGATACAGACCATGGTGACATGAAGGTCTTGTCCTTATAATCTGTAGTTATCCTCCAGCCCTTATCACCAACCAAGACAGCCCTCCACCAACGAGCTTCACTTTCTTCAATATCATCACCAATCGCGACCTCCACATCATATTTCCCGTGCGATTTTGCAATCATTCCGTTCATTTGATACTCAACCGTACATTGATGATCGGAAGAGCGACTCAGGAGCTCAGTCCACTGAACAGATAGTATATAGGCCCATGCCAGCAGTAAAACCGTGACATAATTGCCTTTGTCGTGCCCATGTAGGCCCTGGACAATCAGCCATTCCGTGAAAGGAGTTTGATCGGCAAATTCAACCTTTAGAGGGGTCTGAGTTGCCAATAGGAGTTGGTGCAGTGTGATCTTTGGCTCCAGATCGCAAGGTCCGTTCGATGTTTCCCATTTTGATTTGCCTTTCACGAAGAGATCATATGGGCCTGGTGGTGTGCCTTTCTCAACACAGTCGAACGAAAGGGATTCGTTAGCAGGCCGTATGCCGTGCGCGAGAAAGCTCAGTGTTTGCGAGAGAATATTTCTGAGCTCAATGCAGTGAAACGGGAGGGTTCCGGAATCATCCGCATCAAGATATGATGACCAGAGGTTATAGCTCTCACGCAAGACGCTGTCGTAAGTTTCTTTACTTGGACGGACGATATCACTCATTGTTGGAAGGAGTAAAAAGGAACATCCACAGTACCTTCAGAATCCAGACGAATTGTACTCGTGTCTTGCATCCTTCGGAGCACGGTGTTCTCAATATCTGTTGCTACGTCGAAAACAGAGAATAAGTAGAGGGATGTTGGTGAGATGAGTTATTGCGAGGCTAGGCAAAAGTGGATGACTTTAGCTCCAATGTTACCAATGAAGAAGGGTCAGCCGCAGTCTCACTTGTAACACGCCTGACAGACAAATCACCTCCAAACCCGTCTCACGTGACTGGGATGCGATGGTCCCTGCGGATTCCATATTCTTTACTCAAAACACTTTTTCTTCCAGTGTTTTTCATTCGTCTTCACTACTCCTCTGACGCATACACCTCTGAGATCAATAGATGCATCCATCTTCTTGTCAGTGCTCGAATGGCCCAGCCCTCCAGTGCAGATATCATCAAACCTAATCCGATCGGTGGTACCAGAGATGGGACCAGAAACCCATCCTACGGTGACTAAGCGAGGGAGCTAAGCCACACGGGGACGTGGTCGTGTACGCAGCCCACGCGAGCTCCACAAAGAGCTCACATGAGACACACCCTCTACACGTGACTGCCAAGATCATTAATAAGCCGCAACAACTCGCATGACCATCTAAATATGATACATGCGCACATGGAAATTCAATTTCCTTCTCCTCCCTTTACTTTTATCTAATGCTGTGAAAAAAATTGAGAAATCATAACTTAGTTTTAGAGCAGTTGCCAAGTACTTTACTCTTGTTTTACTCTTTTGTAATAATGGATTCCAATCATTTAATTGATGTGAATGGATTTTTTAAGTCAGAGCTTGATTATGAGGTATCAAACTGCTTACAAAACAGTTTGTAATTGATTACTAAGTATTGAAAATAGGAACCTGCTATTCCCATTCCACTTACTAGTGCTAAAAGCTCTTCCCTGACAACACTAAAAATTGAATATATTGATGACCTACCAGAGTATCCCACAAGTCATATTCATAGGTACACATATGTTGTTGCTTCGAGAGGACGGTCATAGCTTGAAATGGAGCAGGTTGCCCATGATGTAAGTATTTCCTAAGCACTTCATAACTGGTTACTAACTGCTTCCAGATTCAATATGCGAGAAGACAGCTTTATGGACAAAAATGACTAGTCAACTGTCTATTTTTGAAATGCTATGTCAAGAAATGGACCTGGAAATGCTCTGGAATCTATGCTTGTGAATTTCTGAGTCTAGTTCTCTAATCTTATCACCACACCTGTGTGGATGAGACTATTTGGCAGGAAATTCAGAAGTCTCAGAAAGACATTAGGATCTTAGAGACAGATCTTAGCAAGCGGAATGCATACAGGTATGAGTTGAGGAATTCCTAACTATTTCATAACTCATTACTAACTGCTTATAGCTACTATTGATCAAAAGTTGGTTTCTTTCAGAGAGGCCTTGCATGCATTGACCAACTTCCTACATGCAAACCAGTTTTCAAGAGATACAGCCAGATGGTTTGTCTAAGCACTTAATAAATGGTTTCTCAATGGTGACTAACCAGTTTAGAATGTCCATGGAGAATATGCTCCCTATATTGGCTGTATACATGAATCATCTGATGTTTTAACAAAACATTATAGAGGGGCAATTCAAGGTCACACAGTTATTGATTTGCAGTTTCTTGAAGATCTCTTTAATAAAGAGATGATGCCAGCAACCGAAGAATGTAGTGTTTTTGAACCTTTATCATCCTGATGAAAATATTGTGGTAAGTATTTATTAACTGCTTATTAGCTGTTTATTAACTGATTAAAAGGTCGAGATCATCCTCAAGGATCAGGACGATTGAAGCATACACCTTGTGATGTTACTTTCAATGCTTTGGTACCTGTGGATATTAATCAATGTTCATAACGTAATCCACAACCGAGCGAGACACCCAACCGAGCGAGACAGCAAAACCGAATTTTGGCCGATGCTGAAATACCATGAGATATCTTACTACCACACAATCAAATCAATGTAAATTTTCGAATTATCTGGATCTACTAGGGCAGCTGGTTCTAATATGACCAATTTGATGGCAATTACTGCATCGTGGTGGCGCACGCTTTCTGGGAACTGATTCCACCAAGTCCATTGCCTGCATGGCTTCTTGAGCAAGTTGCTGACCTTCGGATCCTGTCAGAATACCCCCAGTAGCAATAAAAGATCTTAGGGCTGTACACTTCTGTTTTTGCTTTTCATTTGCTGCGCGAAGCTCAGTCATCTGGTGTTGTAATAGAATGACTTCATGCATGGTGGATTTGGCTGCTTTTGCCAGCTGACAAACTGCTTCATTTGGTGGGCTTTCAGAGTTGCGACTGATAAGTTGTTTGATAAGCTGCATCTGCTTTTGTACCTCAGCAGTAGTATAAGGAGTCTTTGCTGTCCATTCCCTGTCTCCGTCTAAAGGCCCATGAGCAGTAGAGGGTGGTGTGATATGCTTAATGGTAAGCCTATCCAACACCTGTTGACGATTCAATGGAACTAGTCCAGAAGGCCTGAATCCACTGCTGATATTGGAAGGTGATAATGCTTTTTGTGCTCGCTTGTAGAGATCCAGAAAGTTCTCTTTGTTGATATGATAAATGCTATTTTGAATACTGCGCATCACCTCTGCACCATATGCCTCCTTTAGGGGTGCAAAGCAGCCAACATCAAGTGGCTGTAGTTTATCAGACGAATGGGAAGGCATATATAAAGGGATGATTTGATGATTCTTGCAAAATAGGTCAAACTCTGCGGATTCGTGGCTAGCATGGCCATCAAGAATCAGAAGCTGATATTTTCCCAGTATACGCGACGCAGTATGCTTCTCAAAGACTTTTTCCAACCATGATAAGCCAAGCCCATTATTAGTCCATCCATTATCGCTCACACCAATCAGCCAGTCAGGGTCTATATCTTGATACCATTGAGACTGATGGACCTTGCCAGAGAAGATGATCATGGGGGGCAGAGGCCACCCAGAAGCATTGATACATTTAATGACAGTAACCCATTCGCGATTCCCTGGCTGTACAGCTCGTACGCGGCTTGTTCAATGGCGGGATGCAGTAATGACCTTTGCTGTATGAGCTACACCCATTTGAAAGCCAGTCTCATCAAAGTTGTAGATATCCTGTTCAAGAATACCATATTTTAATATGGTGTTCTGAACAAGATCAAACCACTGGTTGATAATCTCAGGATCCTCACATTTTGCACGCTGATAATCATACTTGCGGGTATATTTTGATGTAAGATCATCATACCGTTTAATGAAGTTGCTGACCCAGTTCTTTCCAATGCCAGTAGATGGACCTGATTTCCGCTGAGACAGTAGTAAATCTGCCATCTTGCGTACAATATCTTGAGTTGGGGGTAGGCCGCGATCATCCATATCTAGAATCCACTTCTTTAATGAGGCCTCTTCAAGATTGGTAAGCTTCTGACAGTTCACTGGTATATTACTTCGCGCCTTTCAACCATTAATGCGATGGGCTAGAGTGGAATGTGGGACATCATATGCTGCTGCTGCTGCTCATACACTTTTAAAATGACCATTTTTATATGCTTTGACTGCAAGAGATATGCGATCTTCTAATCTGATGCTTGAATCTGCTGGATTTAATGCCATATTGGACAAAAGGCTGGATTTGATGATGATTCGGTGGTGGTTGTAAGATTTCAGGGGTTGAGTGTCTCGCTCGGTTGGGTGTCTCGCTCGCTTGTGGATTACGTTATATATTATTCACATCACATGGTGTGCATAAGCATCCACCACCACCACTAAGCAAGGCACCGGAGAGAATCTTACAAGGGGTAAAAAGTATTATTTAATAAATTTGAGACCCAAGTTTGACAACAGGTATGTATCTGGTAAGTGATTTAGAAATGATTTCTAACTAGTTGTTCTTAGCATAGTTTCTTCACAATCCACAGCTTGAGGCATTTTGTCGGCAGTATAATGCTTCTATATTAGCAGAGATTCACTCTGCCTTTTGCAATAAAGACCAGATTGCCGCAATCATCCAAAAACAATGTCTACTTTCCTATCCTAATGGATAAGATGTTAATGGTCTTCTCTTTCTTCAAAACATCGACTAACACGTTAACGTAAGTACGAATACTTATAAGGTGGTTTATTAACACTTACTTAGTACTTAGGATTACATCCAAGAGTAATATTATGATTCGCAGGGTACCATGGTTCTGTGTGGCTTTAGAGAATAGATTTAGCTTCTATCTTGTCTTCCCTCTTTTGAAGTGGACATGTCTTACAAGTGGATTTGATCTAAAAAAATGAATGAGGTGCTTTTTGCAACATTCTTATCAGATTAGTGCAAAAGTGAGTGTTACATATGTAATTAGAAACTAGTTACTAATCAGTTGTTAACTAGTTATCACCTTATTATGAGTCTTTACCAGTGAAGATTCTACTGAGGGATATTATCTACTCTTTAAATGAGTTTTTAATCTGATCTAAAAAGTTTCTCAGCAGCCAGTGCTTTTTGATCTAATTTATAGGTCTGGAATACATGGTATTATTGTTGATATGGACTTAAAACAATATACGGGTAAGTGCTTATTAACCAGTTAATAAGTAACAAGTATATACTGAGTACTTAGGACTTGGCCAATATCTTTCTGAAATTGACCCTCAGCATTGAGATGTGACATGGCATTTGTAATACATAATTATATTTTGCTGAGTCCATTTTTAATGGTTAATTCTGAAGACTATTGGAACTACAAATCAAGGTTCCTCTCTTTGGAGCTGTATGATGAGTCTATTAGACTGCAAATCTGAGGCTGATTATGATACCTTGCTTGACCTACTAATAAGTATCCAACCACTTATTAAGTGATTGTCAGGTAGTTGCTAACTACTTATAGAATATGAGGATGTCAATGTTCAGAACTGGGCAAAACAAAAGAAGAGTATAATTATCAAAGCAGGGTTGAATAAAGCATG